TGCAAGAGCAGTCAGTGCTCTTAACCACTGAGCCATCTCTGCAGCCCCCAAGAATTTATTCTTGTTTTTAAGGTGACTCTTAATTTTTAGAACTATTGACTCCAAATAAGTCGAAGTAAATTTTCATGAATATAACTAAAAAGTGCCTACTTGAATTTTGGGGGGGGGGGGGGGTTAGTCATACTATGCTGTCCTGGCTGATCTCTCAGGGTCAAATGCTCCTCCTTCCTCAGCCTCCTTAGTAGCTGGGACTAGAGGCACATACCACTGAGCCCCGCCATCAGAGTTTAAGACCTAGGTTGTTGTTAAACCACACACATGCTAACCAGGACTGATAATCAGTGTGATTCACAGTTACCTCAGGAAAGCACTTCTTGTGGCATCTGTAATCATCAGGAGCCATGTATGTCTGTCTTAATGGAATAATTTGAAGGTCCTTGTGAAAAAATATTAATGTTAGTTCTTAAAATGTACACAAAAATAATAAAATGTAGAATACCTAGCTATCTCTGTTTTTTTCCCCTCACAAAGTTTTAAGAAAAGGAAAAGTAGATGTATCTTATACAAACAATAGCTTTTTCTTCTACATACACAATTTTAAAGTATTGCACAACTTTTCGTGGGGAGATAGGAACATATCTATTCACTCCTAATAGGACACAGGTGACACACAAAAGAAAATGATCCCACATAAGCCTAGTTTGAACCAGTGTCACTGCATTTGCTTACAGGAGCATGAGTGACATGGGCAGCTTCATCACCAAAAGGCAGGTCTCAGCTGCATCATTGGAGCTCCTTCCTAGCTTGCAGGCAGCTCTGCAGAACAGTGTCCTTCACCCACCCACCCACCCACCCCCTACCCCTCAGCAGGTTGCTCACTACTTATGGAACCTTGGGGAGGAGCCTGGTGAGTCTTGGAACTTTGTGAAATTCCTGGGTCTTGTAAGCCTCCCTTCCTCTCTGTAGTAAGGTAATGTTTCAATTCAAAGGGAATAGCTACACAAACTGGTTAGTTGTATTTATAATACCCAATCTCTTTAAGTGAGAATGATCATGGTATGCATTTTATTTCAGAGAATTTGTGAAAAATGCATGGGCTGATATTGAACGCTTCAAAGAACAAAAGAACCAAGACTTAAAGGAAGCCCTCATAAGCTATGCCATCATGCAGATCAGTATGTGTAAAAAGGTAGGCTTGGGTTCCAGTGACGATATGGCTAGATCCAGAGGGGCTTACATTGGCTGGACATATAGCTTAGTTGGTAGAACTAAGCATGCCTAGCATGCACAAAGCCCAGAGTTTGATACCCAGACCACATAAACCAGAAGGTAGAGGCAGGAGAATCAGAAGTTTAAGGTCATCCTTAGCTATATGGTAAATTCGAGGCCAGCCTGGGATCTATGAGACCAGTCTCAAAAAATAAAAAGGGCAGGTAAGATGGTTCAGTGGGTAAAGGTGCCCCAGTACCCACATGGTAGAAGAAGAGATCTGACTTCAATGCTTTCAAGTTGTCCTCTACCTCTCCATGCATACTGTGGTATGTGCATGCCCACATACACAGAGATATTTTTTTTTTATTTAAAAGGGCTTACAAATTTCTATAAATTCGCTAATTAAACCTTTTCCTAATTTCACAACTTAATTTTGAAGTACTACAATCAAAATGTCTTTTACTGTGTCTCTGTTAAAGTTCCAAATGCATGTGCCCCATTAAAATTTGTATTTGAAAATATATATACCAGCAATATTGCTTTTGTTATATGATATTCTTGAACAAGGGAATAAAATACCATTCCTAATAAGTGGTAGATACTTTGATTAACAAATAGCAAAAACATTATTTTGGGAAAATGTGGTTATGATTTGGTTTGATGGTGAAGCAAAATCTTTGTGTAGCCAGTACATATAGTGAAAGATAAGGGCATTGAAGCTTATGCTGGATAAGTAAATGTTTTGACAGTGGTAGAAATCCTTAGAAAGCATTCCTTAACTTCTTTTTTCATAATCTAAGATCTGCCAGTGAGGTTATCAGTATCAGAGGGATTTGCTGACTTTTGTTTTGTTTTGTTTTGTTTTGTTGCAGTGGAATTCAACTCAAGACTTCCTATTTTTACCACTATAGTTTGAGCTCTTATTACTAGTGTCTTTATATCTCACTGTCTATCATATCAAGTAATTTAGCTCGCATTAGCACAGGAAATAGTAGTAATAAAGATTGTCCATACGCCCCACCTTCTTAGAAAAAAACAAATCATATTCATAGACACGTAGGTAACACTGCTTTACCTGCAAGCTTTATTTTCTGACGTTCCACCACTTTTCCTTACCCTTTTCACTTGTATCACTTGCAGTAGCAGCAAAACCATTTTGAGATGTAAACACTAGACCCACTTACCACTTCAGTGGGCATCTTTTGGCTTGGGAAATCTCATCTTTATGCCCCATTGGCATCTGCATCACTTCACATTGTGGGCCTTTGGGGCCCTTTAAAGGAAATCAGTATACTGTATGACTGGGAGTTCTGTAGACATGGAAGGTAGAGCATATTATGACTTGGTAGTATTTTTTTTTGCCTGTGGCTGTTAGCCCAGCTCCCACTCTGCCAGTAGCTGCCTCCCACAGCCTTTTCTAACCCCTGGAAGTCTGAAGGATCAAATAACAAAAGTTTTTAGATTTAGTTTTCTTTTGTACAAAAGACTCATTAATAAGCTCACTTTATCTTTCATTAGCTTTTTAAACTAAAATACAAGACCTTGGAATAGAGCTGCAAAGGTTTCTTCCTCTCACTTGGTTTAGGGTAGAATAGATGAGGGAGCTGGAAATGTAATCTTTCAATAAAAAGTATGTTATAGCTATATTTGGACATACTGCTGATTTTCTTGTGGTTATACTCATATATTCTAAAATTATGACTTCAAGAGTTTAATAAGAATATATTTGAAGGCTAGAGAGATGTCTCAGGTATAACAGTGCTGGCTATTCCTGCAGATTGGGGTTCAGTTCCCAACACCCAAATTGTGCCTTGCAACCAGCTAGAACTATAGTTCCAGGGGATTCCAGCACCCTTTTCTGGCCTCCATGGACACGAGGTACACACATAGTACACAAACATACATGCAGGCAAAAATACATGGAATAAATATATACTTTTTTTTTTTTTTTTTTTTTTTTCTTTTTGAAACAGTGTCTCCCTGTAGCCCCAGCTGTCCTGGAACTCACTATGTAGAACCAGGCTGGTCTTGAACTCAAAGAGATCCACCTGCCTCTGCCTCCCAAGTGCTGGGATTAAAGCCATGCACCACCACGCCCGGCAAAAAAATATATTTTAAAAGAATGTTTTTGTGACCAACCTAACATCAGTTGAGTCTGGCAAGGGTGCAATGCTGCAGCTGTGGGATTCAGTGGACACTAACCATGGCACTGCTAGCCTGTAAGGAGGTGGGCACTGGCAGTGGAGCTGGGCCAGTGGGCATGCTGCTGCACCAGATGCTGTGGCCACTCAATATCCCTGACATGCCATGCCCCTGTCAAAGAGTATCTTGTGTTCTGGCCAGCCCATTGAGCAGATGGTACAGGAGATCCATGCCACAGCTGGGGAAGGACAGCAGATCCAGGGTGTGTGGCTGCTGACAAGATGAACCACTGAAACGAGGAGCACCTGGTGCTGCGCAACCACAGTCACTGTGCATCTGTAAATATGACTGCATCAGCTTTCAGTGCCAGCATTGGTCAGGGTGGTGCTCAATGTGCTGGACACTATCTCCTTCCCACAGAGAGTTCTATTCTTCCCCCGAAATCACTCAACAAGGGAGAAGGCTTTGGGGTTCACACCAGTGAGACAAGCAGAGCCTCCCTTCTCTCAAAAGATGAAACCCCTAGTCTACAAACGTGCCATATGCCACCTTCATAGAACACCCAATGGCTGCATGGGTGAGGTGACAGTAGATGAGGTGACAGTGACTCTGAGCCAGTTGGAAAGCTTCAAGGCTCTGTTAATCCAAGCTTTCAAGATAGCTGAGAAAGAAAGTCTGTTGCAGAACATTTGAACTGAGCAGAGTGCTGGTGTTGGAGCACCTGAAGTGTATTGTATCTATTTAGTAGGATATTGGATACCTGGGTAACATGAGCTATGAAGGCAGAAAGACAGACTATCTTTGCGCCACTGTGTTCTCTCTGTAACTTCACTGCTATGTACTTATGTGGTTCTTCCTGCCCTCCAGAGTGCTGAGCAGAGGGCACCTGCCCACCTCTGCTCTGTGGACTGTTGAATACAGGGCAGCACCTAATGACTCCAGTGCCTGCATTATTTGGCATTAATACTCTATGTCTTGACAGAATTTTGTATTGAAAACTTGTATTGAAATTCAGACTGCTCTTTTATGCTAAATATGACAACCAGCAGCAGACTGGTCAGTTAGCACAGCAGTCTGCCTGGCCAGCTCCTTCTGTGAACTGTTGAATTTTTATAAATATGTTTGACTAAAAAACATGCTCTTTGTAAAATTAATCCAAATTGTGTCAATACTTATGGTATCTTTCCCAGGCCCAAAAAGGTCCACAAAAAGCCACTTAATATATTACCATCAGGAAGTCACTATGGTGGTACATTTGTATCCTAAGTTAACATTAACATCAGTTTTTCTTAGATAAATATGTGTGTCTATATTTTACATGCATAGACACAAAATACATCATTACCAGTATGTTGCTATTGTGTCATCTGTTCAAAGTGTTAATTAAATATAACTCAAGTTACTTGGATATAATTAGGTGAATTAGATGACTAAGTAAGTTATGGTAGTGATAAAACCAAACAAAAACTTATAAAGAGCAATGCATTTTAAAAGTCAGTAGCTGGGCTGGGAATGTGACTCAGTAAAGATTTGTCTAGCATACATGAAGCCCGGGTCGGCTCTCTACCACATAAAACTAGACGTGGTGGAGCACCTTTGTAATTCCAAGACTAAGGAGGTAGAGGCAGGAAGACCAGAAGTTCAAGGTCTGGGCTATGTGAGCCCTTGTCTCCAAAACATAATAGTACTTCTGCATGGTTTTTTTGTCAGTATTTCCCATAGTGAGTTATCTAACCAAATCAAGTAGGCTGAAACTTTTAAAAAATAACTGATTGGCCAAGTTTGGTAGCACACATCTTTAATCCTAGCATTTGGAAGGCAGAAGTAGGCAGAACTCTGAGTTCCAGGCCAGCCAGGACTACATATAGGGAGACCCTATCTCAAAATTTTTAAATGTTTTAAAAATTAAATAGTTCTAGGGTATGACAAACTTAGGGTTTTCTCTAAAATCTGTGACCTCTCCAGCCATGTGTATTTGGTCTAGGCTGACTAGACCTCAGTGGATGAACTTGCATCAAGGGACATCTCGGCACACAAACTTGACTCAATAGGCCTTACCATAGATGACAAAGTTCATGAAATCAGGTGGGGGTGGGTATGGGGTGGTATGTCTGGGAAAGGGGTACTAAATATGATTAAGATGTGTTGTCTGAAATGCACATAAATTCAGTGAAATATCCTTTGAGGAAAAAAAAGTTAATATTAAAAAAACCCAGATTTTTCAGTTATTTCACAGATTTTAAGTAGTTATAAGAATAGCACATATGGGACTAGAGAGATGGCTCAGTGCTTAAGGGTGTGTTCTGTTCTTCCTGAGTACCTGGGTTTGGTTCCCAGCACTCACATCAGGTGGCAGACACCTGTTTCCAACTCCAGGTCTAGGGAAGCCAATCCCTTTTCTGACCTCTACAGACAATGAACGCCTTAGTACACACACACACACACACACACACACACACTCAGGCATACGCACACTAAAATAAATCTTTTTTTTTAAAAAAAAAAAAAAGATAGCACATATGCCCATTTTGAAAATTTCATGACTCTGTAGCATACAAAAGTAAGAGTTTTCCTCTCCTCACCAAGATACTTTTTAAAAATACTCCACTATTACACTTCTGTATGTGTCTATCAGGACTTTTGTTTGTTTGTATATACACAAATTCGCAAACACTTATCCTTTCCACAAGACTTCGTTTTATCTGCTTGTGCAGCTTGCTCTCATGTGGACTTCACTTGGCAACGGTGCCTGAGACTGGTGTTCAACATTCAGCACTGTTAGATGCTGCTTTAGCCATTCAGTCTGAGGTGGTTCAAAGGAATTTTACTTTTGTCCACTTATCTGCCTTTTATATACCATCAATATTGATGTGCTTTTTTTTTCTTTCTTTTTCTTTTTGGTTTTTTAAAAAAGGGTCTCCCTTAGCCCCAGTTGGCCTGGAACTCATTGTGTAAATGAGATCAGCCTGCCTCTGCCTCCTGAGTTCTGGGATTAAAGGTGTGTGCCACCATGCCCAACCTTTTCTTTTTTAAGATAGGGCCTGACTTATATAGTACAAGTTGGCCTTGAACTCTTCATTCCTTATGCCTCAGCCTGCCAGGAGTACAGGAGCTCACCACCCCTTCTTGCTTCAATATTAATATCCTTGAATCCTCAAGTAGTAAAGAAAAGGCTCCTTTTTCATCAATTAGCAGTTATTGAAGAATGTGTATTTTGGTTATTGAAAAAGCATCCCTTTTTACCACCCAGTTTTGCTGCTCAATCATAAATTTTGTTGAAGCATATTGGATTGTCTGTGGCCTTGCCATAAGTAAACTATCAAGCACTGTGGGGAAGGATTTGGTAATTTAATATGTAAATAATTGTCAAAAGTTCAGTTATCATTGGGGCTGAAGAAATGGCTCAGCGGTTAAGAGCACTGGCTGCTCTTGCAGAGGACCCATGTTCAATTCCCAACACCCATATGGCGAATAACAACTCTGTATAACTCTAGTTCCAGGTGATCTGATGCCCTCTTCTGACCTCTTCAGGTACTGCAAGACAACAGTGCCACCTACATGCATGCAGGCAATACACGCATACACATAAAATAAAAATAATAAAGTATTTTTTTTTTAATTTCAGTTATAGGCCTGGAGAGATGGCTCAGCAGTTAAGAGTACTGACTGCTCTTACAGAGGCCCCAGGTTCAAATCCTAGCACCCACATGGCAGCTAATGCCCTCTTCTGACCTTCACAGGCATTGCATGACACAGGTGCATTACACACATATAGGCAGTACAGTCATACATAATAATAAAATTTTTTTTAAAGTTCAGTTATGGGGGTAGGTCTATAGTTCAGTGGTAGAGCACTTGCTTAGCTTATATGAAGTTTCTGAATTCAGTCCTCAGCACCATTTTTTTAATTTTAGTTATTAGAATAATAATTCATATTTGATAAACTATTAAAATTTTAGAATCAGATATTACATTAAAGCTGTAAAATGTGTTTATATAATGTATTTTTAATATATTCAGTTCCCCCTCCCATCTCCTCTCAGATCCACCCCCATCTCCCTCTTCACATCCACCCTCACTTTGCATCCTCTATTTCTTTGTTTAAAAGCCATCAAGTCTTAATTTGTGTTCCCTAAATACTCTCAAATATGGATTCATCCCCTAGAGTGTGGTCAGCCTACCCTGTGTCACATCCGTAAAGAAAACTGACTCTTCAGCTCCCAACAATTATCAGCTTCAGTTAGCACCTCAGCTAATGGTGGGTGGGGCTTTGGGCCCACCTCCCCCCTCTACACTGGGATTTTGTCTGGCTTGGGCTTTTGCAGGCCTTGTCTATGTCATCACAACTTCTCAGGGTTCATATATGCGAGTGCTCAGAGGTGTACAGAAAACACTGTTTTGCCATAGTCACCCACCACCTCTGGCTCTTACACTCTTTCTGCTACCTCTTTTGCAAAACTCCCTGAGCCTTTGGGGAAGGGGCGTGATATAAATGTCCCATTTAGGACTGAAAGCTCACAGTCCCTTATCTCTGCACCTTGACCAGTTATGGGTCTCTGTGTTAATCACCATTTGTATGTTGATTTTGTATCCTGTAAACTTTCCTGAGATTTTTCGATTTTGAAGGAGCTGGATGTAGTGGTGTATACCTTTAATCCCAGCACTCAGGAGTCAGAGGCAGGCAGATCTCAATGAGTTCAAGAGGCCAGCCTAGTCTACACAGCAAGTTTCAGGCCAACCAGAGCTACACAGTGAGACCTGACTCAAAAAAAAAAAAAAAAATGTGCAGAGTCTTTAGCATATTTTAAGTGTAGGATCATATCATCTGCAATAGGGATAATTTGAATTTTTCTCTGAGTGTATCCCTTTTATTTTTTTCTCTGGCCTTATTGCGCTAGCTAAAATTTCAAGTGCTGTACTGGGTACAGTATGCATAGTTACTATAATGCTGTCTATAAGTATGTCACAGAATCACATTGTAGTTTCTTTTGTTTTCAGGGAATTCAAGTTTGGACCAATGCTAAGGAATGCTTTAGCAAGATGTAATCCTGTGAAGTGATTTTCTCTTCAATCAATGTGCCCCAAAACAGAAGCACAAGTAAAAAGAAATTTGAGTTGCTACCTAATTCACAGAAAACATACAGTAAATTGAATAAATCATCTTTCTTTAACTTAATGATAGTTGTGTTCATATAGCACAAGAGGATATATTTTAATGAAAAAAATTGTAATTTGAGGTTTTGGGGACTGGTGCTGATTCCAAAAAGTTAATTTAATAATATACACCAAGATGGATTGTCAGGCTTCTGAACCAATGAGTGAGTGTCAAGATGCTAATTTCCACATGCTGCTTTCAATGCCAACTTTTTCACATCTTTTTGTGTACAGGTTTTTCCTAAGATTAAATGCCTGTGTTTACCTGGTAAGACCCACTAATCTCTTCTAGGGTGTTAGTTTATCTTGCCTTATAGTTGAGCTATTTGATTAGATAAAATCAAAGCTCAAACAGAAATTATTGTGAAATCTAGGATTTTCTTCCACATTCATTGATGCCCCTGAACCACCTCCACACACTAGAAAATGCCTTCAGTTAGTGTTTTACCAGAACTTTGATGCTGGTCAGAAATTTTATACTGCCAACAAAGAAGTCTCAACTTCTCAGACCCAGTGGAATTCATTATTACAATCTAGCAATTGCCATATAGAAAGTTTTCATTGAGTATTATTATCCTCAAATGTTAACCTCAGTAGGAGCCTCATCTCCCTCTACTTGGCTCCCTGCACATGGCATTTCAGGGTACAGATGTAGCAGTCCTATTGTGAGACGCTCATAGTGATCATCACGTGCTGGGACCTTCATTGTCAATGTCATTTTCTATGCCTGGCTGTGATTTTTGTAAAGATAAAAGATACCGGGTTTTTTTTGTTGTTTTTTTTGTTTGTTTGTTTGTTTGTTTGTTTAAGTGTGTTTTTTGTGCTGTATTCAGAAGCCAAGGACTCTCATTTTGCTAGCTTGCAGAATCTTAAATGTGTACCCATTATTTCTAATGATGTTTAAAAAGTCTTCAGTACCATGTAACATTTGACTTTTTTACATGTTTAAAATGTTGCCAGATTTTTGTGCTGTTTGCCAAACTTATACAATAAATAAAGTATTGTGTCAATTTCCAGAAGATTCATTTTAACAATATCATCCATACATATAAATATATGATTTTCGGGGAGGAAAAAATGTATGCCACCATATTATGTTTTAAAATATTGGATATTTTTTTAAAAAGGGCGGGGGAGGGGGATAGGGGCTAGAGAGATGGCTCAGCAGTTAAGAGCACTGACTGCTCTTGCAGAAGACCTGGGTTTGATTCCCAGCACCCACAGGACAGCTAACAACCATCTGGTAACTCCTAACAACCATCTGGTAACTCCAGTTCCAGGGGATCTGATGCCTTCTTCTGGCCTCTGCAGGCACTGCAGAACACAGGTGTACTTACATACGTGTAGTCATAACATCCATACACATAAAATTAAAGTGTTTTAATTTTTAAAAAAAAAAGATAAGTTAGACGTGGTAGCACATGTCTTTAGTCTCAGCACTCAGGAGTCAGAGACAGGCAGATCTCTGTGAGATTGGGGCCAGCCTGTCTACATAGTGTGTTCCAGGCCAGCTGGGGATACATAGAGACCCTATCTCAAAAAACAACAACAACAAAAAAAATCAAAGACTAGGGCTTGGGTTGTAGCTCAGTTCTAGAGTGTTTGCCTTGATGTGTGCAAGGCCCTGTCTCAATTCCTAGCACCACAAAAGGAAATAGGGGCTGAAGAGATGGCTCTGTGCTTAAGAGGACTTATTGGACTTCCAGAGGACCCGGGTTCAGCTCCTAGCACCCAAGTGATGGCTTACAACTGTCTGTAACTTCAGTTCCAGGGAATCTGATGCCTCTTCTGGCCTCTAAGGTCACCAGGCATGCATTTGGTACACTTAAATACATTTAAGCGCAGACAATGATACACATAATATAAAATTAACTAAAATCTTTAAAAATGTTTTAAAACAAAATAGATGACAAGTCTTCTCTTTCCTTGGAGTTGGACATGATGGTGCACACCTGGGACATGTTAATCACAGCATTCAGGTGGAGGGGCAGGAGGGACACAAGTTTGAGACCAGCCTAGGCTACAAAGTGAAACCTTCACCACCCCCACCCCCAAAATTTAGCCTCTCTTCTGAACTGACATTAGACAAATGTATTATATTTGTTTCAGTTCACAGACATAATTTAAGGCATTTGTTGTATGTTTTAAAAGATTACTTGGAGCCAAATGTGGTAGTTTGTGCTTCTAACATCAGTTGCACAAGAGGCCAAAACAGGAGGGTTACTTCAGCTCAGGAGTTCAAGACCAGTCTAGCATAGTAAGACCCCATCTCAATTATTTTCTTGAAAAAAAAAAAAATGAGGGGCTGGAGAGATGGCTCAACAGTTAAGAGCTCTGGCTGCTCTTGCACAGGACCTAGGTTCAGTTCCCAGCACCCACGTGACAGATAACCATTTGTAACTCCAGTTCCAAGAGAATTCAATACCTTCTGGCCACAGGCAATGCACAACACAGGTGGACTTACATGCACACTCATACACATAAAAATAGTAAATATTTTATTTTTTTTAATTATTTAATAACCACATACTTGTTGAACATTTGAGTGCGGTGCCAGGAATTAGACTGCTGTGAGTAACCTGATGTGGATGCTGGAAACTGAACCTGGGTCCTCTGCAAGAGTAGCCAGTGCTCTTAATTGCTGAGCCATCTCTT